TTTATTTTTGAATGAATACCATTCTGATAATAATATCAGCGATTTGATAAACGTTTACAACGAAATGACAATAAATTATTGCTCGCTTGTGAGTTGTTTCGTAACAGCATTATGACATATTACAACGATTGAAAGTGGTGACTGAATGAGATGTGCTGCTTGAGGTTCATGATGCACGCGTGCCGCTCAGTGGTCGCAATTCACAGTTCTATTCGAATCTTTATTCAGTACGTCCTCACATTCTTGTGATGAACAAAATAGATTTGATTGACATGAAACTTTATAAGTTCGTTGTTTGTTTCGCTTTTTTTTTAAATTCACTTTCTGTTCGATCGTCAACAAATTTTAATGTTTCGTCGATTTTAGCCAAATATTTTGCGAGAGTAGTATCGTATTGTAAGCGTTTATGATCATTATTCGATTGATTGTTTCATGGACATTATGATCTCGATCAGATCAGTAGTGCCAATTGATTGATCTGTGCATGACCTGTATATGCAAATGAGTGATCATCTGTATATGAATGAAAGCAACTGTAAATTGATTTACATTTTTTTTTACAAATTCGGATTCAGGAAACCTATAGAAGAATATTATTTTGGGCAAGGCGTCAAGCACATCGTATGGACTGACTGCAAAAGGAGACGTAAAAAGGAGTTACGTGAATTACAATCAAGAATGATCGAATGCCTTCAGAGCGAACCTCGTTTCAATCGAGCCGTCAAGACTGAATACCAGGTTGTGGCTGATTATCAGTATTATATAGTCACCATCCTATTTATGTCACCCGGAATTCATTCACGAATTGAAGTGTGCTCATTCATAATTCAAAAATTCAGGTTATGGTCGTTGGGATTCCGAATGTTGGTAAGTCGTCATTGATCAACTCGTTACGCTCCAACAATCTTGGCACTAAACAAAGCGCTGTGGCTGAAGGTATCTATGTGTGTGTGAAGTACTCTTTGCTTCGATAATAGAGTAATCATGAAGTGGAGGAGGTCAAAGCGCTTATGGGATTGGCTTAAAATTAACATGAAAGCGGCGATTCCATTGGATGACTGAGCTCTTCATTTTGCTCATCAACCTTTACGCAGCCGTGTTGGGTCCCTTCCACACTGATCATACTATTTTAAAGCATCATGAACATTTGCGTTAAAAATGACACCGTTAACATTCTACCCGAACTGCAATATCATCCATTTTTTAACATAGAGTTTGTTTCAACACAGAATTGAGTAAGTAGTTAGATATTTTGTCCTTCAACAATTCGCTAAACGATCAGTATTGCGTTTCAATTTGAGAGCGAATAAAAGTTATGTAATAGCGAAATCGATCTGGTGTGTTCACACCAAAGACATACATATATCATTTCAAGAAGTGAATGAATTGCAGGTGCACGACCAGGTGTAACAGTGCGCGTGCAGAATCGAGTTCGAATCTTGGACCGACCCGCTGTCTACATTCTAGATACCCCGGGTGTGTTGCACCCAAACAGTCGAAATATTAATGAATCGATGAAGTTGGCTGTTTGTGACCTTATTCTCGAAAGTGCCACTCAACTGGAGTATGTTGCTGACTATTTACTGTTCTGGTTGAACAGGTTCGTTGTTCCGCTTATTGTTTTGAATAATCTCAACTAGTGGGTTGCCATATTTCTACCGCATTCTTTCGCACTTTACCATTATTACGGTGCTCTTAAGAAGTTTTCAGCGTTCCAATAAAACTTGATTGTTTCTCGCTCAGGTGAAACTTAACGAAATTCAAACCTTACTTTCGCATTCAGCGTGTTCATTACTATAACAGTCAGAAGCAATCCATTTCGAACTGCGTTAATATCGTAACTTTTTTTTTTCAGAATTGGTGACTATTCGTATGTGGAGCATTTTAATTTGAGCGAAGGACCGTCAGATAATATTGGCAGAGTACTGGTAGGTATATGCAAGTCGTTGGATATGAGGCAGTCGTGTACGATACCCGGTCGAGGACAAACGCAACGATGGGATTTAGAGAATGCGGCGAGAATGTTTTTGGATTTGTTTCGGAAAGGTAAACTGAAAGATCACTGTCTTGATCGAGAACTGCTTTTGCGCAATTACTGACGACGTACATTGCTCACTTTTACTTGATGCTTGTAATATTGTCTGTGTGATTTTCATTTGCAATTTATTGCTGCTAATTTCTTCATCTCACTGTTCGTAACTGTATTATAGCGTTTACGAAATTTGCTGATGTTTGAACGAATGTGAAATTTGAAGTTCGCATATTTTGAGAATACTGATTAATGTTACTCGGTTAAATGCGATGATGGATTTCTGTTTTTGATGACGAATTTGAGTGTGCATTCCATTGTTAGACAATTGCGAAAGTAATGGATGCCCAGTTAATCGCAGCTAATTGTATTTCAAAATGCAGCGTTGATTTCGTNATGTTACTCGGTTAAATACGATGATGGATTTCTCTTTTGGTGACCACTCTGAGTGTGTGCATTCCATTGTTAGACAGTTGTGAAAGTAATGGATGCGCAGTTAATCGCAGCTAATTGTATTTCAAAATGCAGCGTTGATTTCGTCAGTTGACTGACATTCGCATCTTACGGTTGGATACTCTGTTCGCTTAACGACCACCCGAAATGAACTTTTCTCTGTAATTGACAACAACGAAATCAAGGAAATTAACCGAAATCTTTAATGCTGTCAAATAAATGAATGTTGTACCAGAATGAGTGATGAACAGATTCAAATTAATGCAATAAATTAATGCAACAAAACGCCTTTCGTTTACATTCATCCAAATACAAACCAGTATATTGTAATATATCACAACTGTCTTATCATTAGTTGGTAAATCACTGAACTCCACCCACCATGTCTGCATTATGCAAAGTAGAAGTCGACGAGAAACGAATATAAACTGCAACGAAATGTAAATTCCAACGGACATCGATCACAATACGAGAATGTTATCGACTGATACATAATTATCGCAGGAAATGACACTGTATACATTCAGGTAAGACAAATCAAGTGTTTGTTCAGTTTTTAAAGGCTCAACTAACATGGGTAGGCACTGAGTGAAGTAATCCACGATGATGATGATAAAAAATGATTAAGTTTCACAGAGCCTCGCTGAAAATAGTAATGGAGTTCCCCGATAATTGCCTCATATTTTTATGATCAGCTAATGCTTCAGACAACAACCAATTTTTACTGATTATCGTGGTCGCGTGCACCTGGTTTGGTTCAAAATTGAAAAAAAGGCGAATAGTTATGTATGGCAAGCGTTTACTGGCAAACGGAAATTGATTTGAAGAGGAAAAAATTCAGATTTATCGACAGAAAACTTATATTTCTTCGTGTGTATTGAAGGGACGAATTGTGAGTAAGGCAGGCAATCACGGCCACTCAACTGAGAGCGCCGCACTCCTGAAGCATTCTCTTCAAACGACCGTCTCTCAACGCTGCCACAACCTCATCACCACCTCCAATAAATTTGCCACCAATAAACACTTGTGGCACTGTTCGTTTACCACTTATCGATTGCAATACATCCTCAAATTAATTTTTATAAAAATATTTTCAAAAATCCAGAGGCTCGCTTTCAAATTCCAGAATGTTGTGAAATTTGGATGAAGTTTATGACGATCTACTTCTTTGACTGTAAATTAGCTGTCTGTACGATGAATCAAAAACAATTTCGGCACACTGCGTCAGATGCAAATGATTGTAATCATAAAGTGAAAATTCACGACGACCAATAATCCTAACCTGAATACGTTCACATTCATCCATTTCATCAATCTCAAGAATTTCGTAAAATTCATTCGGCAATCTGAATGCACTCAACGCTTGTTTTGCTTTCCTGAAAGCTCAAACATCTCCATGGCAAAGTGATGAACACATTTTCTTTCGTAAAATAGTCCGTGAAGCGAAAATTTCAATTAAGATTTATTGAAACATTATTTTTAATCATTCACGCCAGTAATTTACTGGAATACTCAATTGGTTTTGAGGTGGAAATTATAAGTTATAAGGCTTTTTTGAGGAAAATCCTTTGATGAATTCGGTGTTTTCCAGAAAATTTTATTCAAATTAGCTACGAAACGTTGGAGCTAATGCAAAAGAACCGGCACAAAACGAATTGGATGAACCTGCAGAAAAAACACCACGATTTGCTGAACATAACAACCGGCACTGAATTGATTTTATTGGTGACGAATGTTTTTGGATCGAGTTTTTGAGTTGCTGATGACGACGACGCATTCTGCGACTGAAATATCGAATCAAATGGATTAATCGATCACTGACACTCAACCAGAACCGATCAACTCACGATCAATAAAATTATCGTTTGTTCGAGGCTGCCTTTCGTATGTAAATTAAAACGTTACTACATTACGCTTGCAAGCAGATTGAGACGAACTCAGTTTCGATTTGCTCATAAAATCAACGAATCTAATCACCTTTGTCCAAACGGTCGCTTGGCCGATTCCGTGCTCTTCAATGGCCTTCTGAAGCCGTTCGGCTTCTTTCTGCCTCTGACGTTCGGCCTCTCGAGCTGCATTTGCAGCGTATCGTGCCTGAGTCCTCTCACGCGCTGCACGAATCTGCTCTTCATATCTGGCTTGCACGTCATTATCTGAAGTTCATTTCATCTGAATACTGCACACTTTGTGGCCAGAAATCTCTAGTTGCTGCCGTTGCGATCAAAAATTAACAAGTGAACGACTGCAAGAAGCTAGGCAAGCGCTGATTAAATAGTTAGGGAACGAATGCAGCCAAAAGAAAAACCAACCATGCTTTTTACGTTCTTCCAACTCCTTTTCAGCCGTAATTGATGCTAGTACGGGTGCAACATATTTCTTATAAACGAACATAACCAACATTCCAATAAACAATATGTACCACCCGTAAAGCTCGAATATTCCTATGCGAAAACAACTTTTCATTGGAATTATCACGAAGCGAAGCAATTAACACGAAAGAAATAAGCGAGAAACATAAGCATAAACATCCTCACTTACTGCTTAATGAAGGATATGCAGCTCGCGGTCTTGAAGCCGCTTCAGCGTCGATTAATTCCTCGTCTTCCACATTCAGATCCGCCATTTTTTCACTCTCCCAAACGCCTCACTCGAACTTGAATATCACCGATGAGTCAATTGTAAATGCAATACCTATACAAGCACAATTAACATCACAAACGCCTTATTATAATGACTAATTCCCTCGGTTATAGATTATATAATAATCTCTAAGATTAGTTGTTTTCACCCAACCGATTTTATTCACTGCGATTCCCTTCAGCATTCAATTCATTCTTGATTTTTCTCGTTGATTTTTCTTAAAGCCAAAAGAAAAAAGGCAATCGGATAGCTGTGACTATTACGCAAAGATAACTTCAAATTGTACACATCTGAGAAGATAAATCACAGCATCCCTATTAGCGTTCGTTCACGAATTCAACACTTTGCGATGGAATGCTTTAATTGTAACCGCTGAAACATATGAAACTGATAAAAGGAGTTAAATAACTAATGATTGAACCTTCTGTTAAGCTTACAAATAACGTATTCAATCGCTGATGACGAGTTTTCAAGGAAATAATTTTTATTGTTTATTATCGAAATAGACAATTTATTAAGTTGGTTAAATATCGAATCGAAACTGCTTTATTATTGCAAAGAATATTTATTTTCAGAACAAATAACAAATTACGATGGGACAATAAAAATTTTGCGAGCGACTTCAACAGAACATCAATACAAACAAACGGATGAACATCTCTTTCGCGTGAATTCACTCCCTCAGATGTATTTATTGTTCATAAAACACGCTCGGTACATACCAAACTTTTCTCGCTATAATGCTTCAACTGAACACACTGGATCATGACTATTGGATTTTTTCACTTCACCGGAGTTTCGGAATTTTTGATCCTCTCATTGCAATGACCATATTTGCAAAAAAAATTTCTTGAATGAATTCCAACAGAAATAAATTTCAAATTGATATTTTGTTAGTAATTGATTCAAAAAAAAACTACATTCAAAAACTTGAGTTCGAGATCGCATTAGCTTATGGAATACGACACATTCCAACCAAAACAACGCTCACTGATCACACCATCGATCGATCATGCAATAAGCCAGCCGCTTATAAAGCAGTGAATAACAAGAAGGCAGCAAAAAAATCGCCATTGACAACGAGTGAAACAACGGAAATTTTCGTTAACAACAGTGAAAAATTGTTTCGAATGAATACAATCAAACCAAAACAACGATTTTATCTCTCATTTCATAACCACAAAACAGTAGTACTTTTCAAAAGTGTTTCTCGGAAAGTCAATTCGTTTTCTTTTTTCAGGAAATAACAAACATTCAAAACGAATAGATTCTCCTTCCAAATGAAATAATCGAAAACAATCTAAGATGAATTTGGAATCGTAACAAACCCTTACAAAGTGTGCATTATTTGTTTGGGAGGGTTATCAAATGCTATCAACCAGCATGCAGTTTCAAATATACAAATGTACTCTCATTACATATTCACACATTCTACAATAGCAATAAACACTAACGATTGCAACTGAAATGAAAATCAAATTCAAAATAAGAACACTCAACGAGCATTTAACGCGGTATCAACTCGACGTGTGTCCGTCTTGCGAATGCCCTATCGAAAGATTCGTAAGGAGGTAACTGCTTCAGGTCACCGTATCCAACCACCGACGGTGCCGTATTCAACATACGTTCAACGATACGTTTGATGTCTTCATTTTTTATCGCATCTGAATTCGAAACAAGATCACTGACAACACCATAACACTAATATGTATCTTTAAAATAATAANTACTGCCATCAAAACAACATTCGACCATCATAACGCCTAATGCATCACCAACAACCACTCAACTGCACCAACTCCAACAACACAACGAAATCGCAAACAATTCAATTCGAGAGCAAATTCCATACCGATTTTAGCGATATATTCGGACGGTTTTTTGCGATATCCATGCCCAAGCACTTGTCTCGATAGGTCTTCAAACATCACCGGTCTCACCTCAAGGTTCATCATCAACTGACTCTTCAGTTGGGTTTTTGCCCGTTCCAATTCATCTCTACCCACACCATCGGGCAGTCGTAGCAACTGCTGAACGATCACGCAGGCTGTATTCAATAACTGCAATTAGATCTATTCGTTACTATACTTCAAAACACATCTCTGAATTATATACACCGCAAATCTTCCGAAATATGTGGAATCTACGGTTTCTCTGCCTACTTAATTGAGAGTGTATAAGAGACACTGAACTTGCACATTTGCCATAGTTTTACACCATTTAAAATAGAAAACAGAATTGCAAAAATTGGCACTTTTTAAGAAAACTCCGCACCTGCAATGGGTCGCTGGACGCTTGTATGCAAAAAAGACCAGAATCTGCATAAGCGTGATTGAATGCCGTTGCATTGTACATCCAATGACACCTAAAATTACCACCATTACTATCCTCTTCCAAAAATGTCACAATCAAAAAAAATTTCACAAAAGATTTAACCTGTTTAAAACATCCACATAAAGACGCGTGTACATTCCTTTTCCAGGCCCACCCGCACTAAAACTCCCCCCGCCACCCATCAACGATTGCAGAACACAGAATGCAACGAAATCGTCGTCTTTATAACCACAACTCTCAAATCCTATCACAAAATGTGCCAAATTCGGGAACGGTGACGGACCTAATGCCATATTGCTTAGGTCTTTCAGAACCTGAAAAAAAAAATTCCAATCAAATTCACTTTTAAAAAAACCAATTGCCTTTTTGAAGTCTTACTCATCAACGTATTCTCATGCGATCGCATGGATTTAAAAAAAAAAACAGAATAAATTTCTTGGAATAAGTTTACAGACCGGAAGGGATTCGATAATACAAGTGAATAGATGAATGCAACATTCAAATAAATTCAACCATTGACGAAATAGAATATTGCCATAACAAACCCGTTTATCACCGCCAGTATACTGGGCAGTGGAATAGTCGAGAGGTGGTTCATTCGAGAGTAAAGCCGACCGATCGTTTGCCCAAGTTGTTCTCGACGCATCGAACAATTCCTCAGCCGCATTCACCAATAAATCGTGATCAACGCCAACACCTGAACAGAAGACATTGCTGAGAAATTATTCATTCTGATTTGGTTGAATGTGACCGATGACTGATGTCAGCGATGGTGATTCGAATGAAAAATCAAAGAAGAAATATTCTAACCTGCCACAACCATTCGATCCAATGTATGATATTGTTTCATGTATGTCAAAACGTGCTCTCGTTGGATCTTCTTAACGTTCTTGTCTGGACAATACTTCGGAAATCCTAACGTATTACCGTTGAAGGCAGCCTGGCAAAATGCGAAAAATGAACACCAATCTCATAATGAATGTAAATGTTCAGCGTGTTATTTCAAGTTCACGGCGAAACCGAATATGCAAGCATTATGGCTGGCAAATACAAAACAGCTTGTGTCCTATTCTATTCCATTAACATAAAAATTCAAAATAAAAATTACCTCATGAATCCAATCAGTGAGTAGTGCTTCACATTCGGGTTTTGTACTCATATCCTTATTCTCGAAATTTAC